CGTCGCATTTCTCTGATGTCAATCCTTCTGTTATTGGTCGTAATCTTCGTTCTTCTGTAATCTGGCCTTGTCTCAGTTCATTTGTTGTGCTCGTCTCTGTTTTCTGTAATCGGTCGTCGGTCTCAGTTCATTTGTTGTACTCGTCTCAGTTTTCTGTAATCGGCCGTCGGTCTCAGTTCATTTGTTGTACTCGTCTCTGTTTTCTGTAATCGGTCGTCGGTCTCAGTTCATTTGTTGTACTCGTCGCTGTTTTCTGTAATCGGCCGTCGGTCGCAGTTCATTTGTTGTACTCGTCTCTGTTTTCTGTAATCGGCTGTCGGTCTCAGTTCATTTGTTGTACTCGTCTCTGTTTTCTGTAATCGGTCGTCGGTCTCAGTTCATTTGTTGTACTCGTCTCTGTTTTCTGTAATCGGTCGTCGTCTTCGTTCATACATTCTCGTCTTTGTACTACTACTGTACTATATATAATCAGTCCTGGTCTCCGTTTTCATGTTGTCAATTCTTCTGTCCTCAGTCCTCGTCTATATCATTCTGTTATCTATCTATCTGCCACTATTTTTCTGTATAAATCCTCGTCTTCATTGTCTTGTTGTCAGTTATCTGTCCCGTATTCAGTTCTCTTGTTCGTTCTTCTGTAATTGGTTCTCGTCTCTTTTCTTCTGTTATCAGTTCTAGTCTCCGTTTTCTTGTTGTCAATTGTTCATCTGTTATCGGTTCCTGTCCTGTTATTCTGTTATCGGTCCACGTCTCTGACGCTTGTGGTCAGTTCTTCTGTTAACGGTGCCTGTCCTGTTATTCTGTTATCGGTCCACGTCTCTGTCGCTTGTTGTCAGTTGTGCTGTTATCGGTCCCTGTCCTGTTACTCTGTTATCGGTCCCCGTCTCTGTCGTTTGTTGTCAGTTGTGTTGTTATCGGTCCCTGTCCTGTTATTCTGTTATCAGTCGTTTGTTGTCAATTCCTCTGTTATCGGTCCCTGTCTCTGTTCTTCTGTTATCGGTCACCATCTCTGTCGTTTGTTGTCAGTTCCTCTGTTATCGGTCCCTGTCTCTGTTCTTCTGTTAGCAGTCCTCGTCTCTGTTCGCTTATTGTCAGTTCTTGTCTCCGTTCTTCCTTCTGTTATCGATCGTCGTCTTCGGTCTTGTATTTTCGGTACTTGTTTCCTGTTCCGTAAATGTCTTCTCTTGTTTCTATCGTTGCCGTCATTATGTGTCTTTGTCCTGGTTTTGTCAGTCTTGTAGTCATTTATTCGTTCATTGGAGTAGCGGGGAATCGAACTCACGACCCCTTGATTTGAAGGCAAACAGTGTTACCAATGCACCATTGCGCCCGCTCTGAATAATAACCATTTTTGGAAATCCTTTATACATAAAATACTATTTCAATGGCTAACAAAGGGTGTATCACAATTATATTTTAACACCTCTACTATGTGGCCAAGCCACGTGACTTTTATATATGGTCAAAAAAATATTACTCCATTTTTTACAAGTAATATTAGTATAGATAACTTTGCTGTTACTTTAAGATATCCTGGAAATTTATTTGAGGGTACCCGGAATTCTAATGTATATCAAATGATGTAAAATTTTCTCAAAACCGTGACTAGATTCCAAATTTTTCGAGAGCTGCCATGGTATGGCAAGCACACGTAGCAATCACCCGGTGTCGGACATTTTATGATTCCATGAAAATATGGTGTTGTTATTGTTGTTTTTAACTTGATCTTTAAATTTCAAATTAGATTATAATCACTTATTTTTTAGCAAGATGGTAAATATTTGTTGTTTTCTGTATTTTTGTTAAGAATGTGATAAAGTATGCACTTCTAAGTTTAAGATTACTTTTTATCACACACCCGTGCCGATTTTGCGACTCCGTAAAAATGGTATTGCACGGCCGTGCATATATTTTGACGTGACGTCATAAGCATTATACAAACATAGTGTAAAGACGCACTGAATGTTAGCGTTATACTATAGGCGCGTCAATGAAAATGACTCTTATTTAACTTTAAACGGTCTTTATTTTGGGTTTGTGATAAATGGAATATTAAAATTCGTGTAAGGTCATTACTGAATTTATTGCACTTGTTGAATTAAATATTATGCTCGCCAGAGGCTCGCATAATATAATTTTATGTATTGTCCAAGATCAGAGTTGAAATCACAGGATCGGTGGAACTCGTTAGGGAACAAAGGGAAAACAACACATGATTTGAATGAAAATCGGGCATTTATTAAAAATGCCATAAACTAGCATTATTAATTATACTAAATACACAAATAGATTTAATAACATAGTTTAATAAAAGAAAAGGAACTAACTGGGAGGCAAAAATCGCCTTTACAAAGAATCAAGATGTAATAACATAAGACATGATGTATTAACGAGAAAACAAAAAAGACTAGATTAATAAGTAAAAAAGCATGCATCATATTTACATGGACCCTGATCTTGGCAACATTTCAAAAGAGGTGGTGGAGTTGGAGGAGGTGGTTTTATTTTTTCTTTTAGAAATTGGCAACAAACGATGTACGCCAAAATGAACAAAGATATGGCTTATCTGCTATCTATTTGCTTAGAAACATCACATGCTAAAATGTAAACATCTGATTGGGTAAAGCATAATTTATGCATTTAGCTAAAGTCTGATTAACATCGTTAAGTTTCGGACGTCACAAATAGGGTCCAATGACATAAAATCTTTTATGTGGGCATGAAATATTATTTATGTATTGTCCAAGATCAGAGTTGAAATCACAGGATAGGTCGTTCAGCAAGTGACGATTATATTTTTATCTTTTTCACTGTGAAATTATCAAATATTGTTTTCTCGGATAAATCAGTAATCCACTGAAAAGCATAAAATAAAAAAAAAACTATAAAAACTAATGTTAGTAAAAGTCTTATCTGCTCAAAATGTAAACGTTGTTACTTCCGCAGTAGTACAGCCGGTTAAGTGATTGACTGATGTGTGAAAGGTCAATGGTTCGAATCCTACTGTTTCCATTTTTAAGACCTGTTGTTTGTTTGTTTTTTTTTTGTTTTTTTTTAATTGTTTTTGTGTGTGTGTGGGGGGGGGTGCACAGAATATATTTTACAACACTTTTTGTCTCGGTTTGTGTTGTGTTTATGGCATTGAAAAGACACTTTTCGACATTTCAAAATAATTTTTAAATATTCATTTTTAACCATAAATACCATAATAAGTGCAAAATATATGAAAATAAAATGAAAAAAATTTTTAAAAAAATCATAGCTACAATAATGTTGAAAATTAAGGAACACTTGAAGTGACATTTTCCACACTTTCTCCCGGAATTGAATTCGTTTTTACGAGATAATAATTCCCAATTAGAAATCTTATTTCGTTTTAACGATATATAAAATCTTAATTATGAAATATTGATTTGTTATTACGAAATATTTATTGTTTGGTAATATTTATAAACTAAGTTTATTGTTAGATATAAGTCAAGTAAACAAAACATTAAAAGTGATTTTTTTTTAAATCTTAGTCTTATACCTTTACTCGCTAGTAAAACAGTACTTTATATACTGTTAATTAAAATATTAGGCTTATAACCGCTATATTTGGTGACAAATCTCATTAAAATCTGATCATATTGAATAATCATTTGATTTTGACAAAAATAATTAATTGCATCATATTGTATCATAGTTTTAATGACTTATTTAAGTATTTTTAAGCGGCCATTTTGAATTGACCTTTTGAAGGTCAAGGTCAATTTCATTTTCTTGGTATCCGACCTTATCGTCTTCAGCATACCCATATTAGGTTTATAGTTCAAGATGTTACTTGTATCATAAAATGCCTCAAGCATTCATATTTTCTTAAATCAGTCCTAAGCTGGATACGATTTTGCTGCAAGTTCAAGGTAGCAACTCAAATGTTGCGCATGACACACGTTGTCTCAATATGGAGATCATTTCTGTGAAATATTTGTAAAGTCCAACTTCAAACAACGAGGTTATGGGCCGGAAACGATTTTACCGCAAGGTCATGCTGTGACCTGACCTTTAATGTAGCCACCAAAATGTTCCGCGCAACACGTCATCTCAATATGGTGATCATTTCTGTGAAATAGTTGTTAAATCCGACTAATCAAATAACGAAGTTAAGGACCGGACACGATTTTGCTGCAAGGTCATGCTGGGACCTTGACCTTCAAGGTAGCGACCCAAATTTAATTGTGACATGTCATCTCACTATGGTGGTCATTTCTGTGAAATAGTTTTAATATCCGACTTCAAATAACAAAGTTATGGGCCGTGGACAATTTTGCTGCAAGGTCATGCCGTGACCTTGACATCAAGGAAACGACCAAAATGTTGTGCCCGACACACCCTCACAATATGTTGATCATTTCTGCGAAATAGTCTAAAAATCTGACTTCAAATAACGAAGTTATGGACCGGACATGATTTTGCTGCAAGTTCATGCTGTGACATTGACCTTCAAGATAGCGACCAAATGTTGCGCGACACGTTGTCTCAATATGGTGATCATTTCTGTGAAATAGTTTTCAAATCTGACTTCAAAATAACAAAGGTATGGGCCGGACACGAATTGGGGACGTACGTACGGACTGACGGACAACCCGACGACTATATGCTCCCCCAAAATTTTTCAAAGAGCATAAAAAACCTTTCTTGAAAAAATGTCAGATAGACTAGCTTCGTCTTGACCCCTTGACATGTGACGTCAAGACGTTGCTAAAATATTTACAAATCAGACCGAGATGACTTTTTGAAAGCCAACATGCAATAGAGACCGGGTTAAGTCTGTTCCTAACAATTGGTAGATGGCAACAACATTTAGTTGATATGCATATTAGGCTATCCCAAACATTCATTCTTCATGATTTTACTTTGCGTGCATGTACCCCATGCTTACGATTTTTATGAGAGCATGTAAAATTTTGTGCGTGAATTGCACACTTTAGTGCATGAGTGGACATGCCGGAACACTAGGTCAAAATATAGGTCCGCTTATATCAAAGTTTATTTTTACATCATAACTGTGTATATGATCCACAATTCACAGCTGTACATCAAGGGACAAGAAAGTAGGTCACTAACTGAAAATCTATGTCAGCTGATATCAAATTAAGTTAAATTTTAAATCTAAAACTGATTGTGGTCCAAAGTTCAAAGCTGTACATCTAAGAAAAGGAAAGTAGGTCAGTAGGTTAAAATCTAGGTCAGCTGATATCAAAGTTCAATTGAACATCTAAAACTGTGCATTTGGTCCAAATTTCATAGCTATACACTAACCTTTTCCCTTATATAAGCGTGTTTCGACGGCTTTTTGCCCCCCCCCCTTTTTCTGAGGCCTCAAACAAAGAAAAACTGCCCTATTTAGGCCCCAAACACGGTTTTTTGTTTGAGAAATGTTGTTAAAAATGTGACCTTTTTCGGCACCGTCCCCCATCCAAATGTTACATCAGGGGGTTGCCAGGGGGTTTGAAGGGGCGGCAGTCGCCCTCATCGTTTTGTTTGTTTGTTTTGGGTTTTACGTCACATCGACACAGTATATGTCATATCGCGACGTTCCAGCTTTACTGGTGGAGGAAGACCTCAGGTGCCCTTCCGTGCATTATTTCAGGCACGAACGGGCACCTGAGTAGAACCACCGACGTTCCGTAAGCTAGCTGGATAGCTTCCTCACATGAAAGAATCCAAAGTCCCTGTCGGGATTAGAACCAACAGCGGTGAGGGGCAAGTGGTTTAACAGTCAACGACCTTATCCCCCTCAACGCCAAGAAAATTTTGGACATGTGACAGGCTAAAAATGGCCTCAGGTCGATCTTAGGGTAACTAGAAACCGACGCTGAAAAGCCTTTTACTCTATCTCAATCCATTGAAAAGTTGCAGCACTTTGACAATTGAGCATGCTGTTACAGAGGTTATGGTCTAGTCAACATTTGTGCCAAGTTTCATCAGTATTGAAGCATTTTTCATAGTTTTATAGCAGTTTGAATTTGTTTCAGGTGGCTTTTCAATGAAAACGGCCATTTTTCGCAATATGCTCATGGGGTAAAAGGTTAAAGACAAGAAATCAGGTCACTAGGTCAAATAATTTCAAAGTTCAATTTTACATTTTAAACTGTGCATATGGTCCAAATCTTATAGTTAATTGATTAAATAAGACAATTTCATCAATTTGAACTGGACAGTTGAGGTCAGTTAAAGGTCATGGTCACCTTATGAATTATTCAATATGTTTGTCTTGTAGAAAGTCGGATAAATTAAATCCGTACAAAAATAACAAAACTGACAATTTAACCGAAATTCAATAATTTGGCCTTGATGGTCAAGATTATTTAACACTCAAGGTCAAGGCCAGTTCAACCTTTAAGGTCTTGTTTAAATGGTTGTTAGTCCTAGTATTTTTATCAGATTACAGTCAATAATAGCAAAAATCAGTGAGCATTCAGTAATGTGACCTTCAAGGTCAAGGTCATCAATAAGCCAATGTCAAATTGATTTTAACTTACTTAAAGGTTTTATCTGAAAGAATGTTATGTTTGATAAGAAGTTAATCAATTTATAAACAACAAAGTTATAGCCAGTAACAGCAAAAAAAGAAGAAAATTTTATTAATTCTATCTTCAAGGTCAAGTCATTTATAAGTGAAGGGTAAGGTCTATGTGGTAATTTTTAAAATCTATCCTAGCAGATTTTTATGTTAAAGTTTCAAGACAATCCATTCACAAAAAAAAGTTATAGCCACTAACAGCAAAAATTAAGCAAAATCATTCAACCTTAAAGGTCAAGGTCATTTATGAATGAAGGTCATATTTAGTCTGGTCCACTTAATGGTCTTGTCCCAAGGGTTGTAGTGGCTTAGTATGAAGACAATACACCAACAACTTAAAAAGTTATGATCGAGGTACAAATGTGTGGATGGCAATGGCAATGTCAACATGACTGTAACAATACCTTTATTTTTATTTTATTTGTTTTTGATTTTTTAAGTTGAGCTAAAAATCTATACATATTCATGAAATATTTTCAGTCACAAATTAGACATATCTGAGGTCCTGAAAAAAACCCAATTAACAATGAAATTGGGGACATTTTTCTTTTGTTATTGTTTCTCTTTGGGTAGCACTATTTCCCGGAGAATGGACGATTAAATATATAAAATTTCACTTTGTTTTTGTTTTTTTGTATTTTTTATTAACAAATATTATACATAATTATACATATATACAGTGACAAAATTTAACAAATTCAATTTGAGATATTTGTATGTATTAGAGTAACAACGATTATAAACACACAAAGTGAAAAAAGCTTGAAACTATCTAGAGGTTAATATATATCTTTTAAAAGTTGGAGTATTTAATCAACTTTTATAGACTATTATATTTCATTACATTGTGTTACAATCTTATACCATTGACACTACAATTTTTTTTAATTATACAAAACCCAAAAGTCATTAAAAAAGTAAATAAGTAAAATGGCTGGCATGATGCCAATCCTGTCAAATGAAAACAAATTCTAACTAGAAATGTGTCCATAGGACACGGATGCCCCCACACGCCACTGTTCTGTCAATCTTATGACTCTAGGTCAAATATTTTTTGGACTACAATGTGCCACAAGTTAAAAACTAAAAATCAACAAAGGGCCATAATTCTGTTAAATTTGGTCGCAGCAAAAATTCCTTCTTTACTGCCACCTTTACTGCCATCTACACATTAAGGTTATTCATCCCTGGAAGTTTAAGCAAAATCTGGCATCCGGTTTAAGAGGAGTTGCGTTCACAAAATTTCTACATAGTATCTAGTGAAAAAATCAACAAAGGGCCATAATTCTGTAAAATTTGGTCGCAGCAAAAATTCCTTCCTTGACTACCATCTACACATAAAGGTTGTTCATCCCTGGAAGTTTAAGCAAAATCTGCCATCCGGTTTAAGAGGAGTTGCGTTCACAAAATTTCTACATAGTATATAGTGAAAAAATCAACAAAGGGCCATAATTCTGTAAAATTTGGTCGCAGCAAAAATTCCTTCCTTTACTACCATCTACACATAAAGGTTGTTCATCCCTGTAAGTTTAAGCAAAATCTGCCATCCGGTTTAAGAGGAGTTGCGTTCACAAAATTTCTACATAGTATCTAGTGAAAAAATCAACAAAGGGCCATAATTCTGTTAAATTTGGTCGCAGCAAAAATTCCTTCCTTTACTACCATCTACATATTAAGGGTGTTCATCCCTGTAAGTTTAAGCAAAATCTGCCATCTGGTTTAAGAGGAGTTGCGGTCACAAGATTTCGGGACGTACGGACTGACGGACGGACTGACGGACGGACAAGTGCAACGCTATATGCTCCCACATGGTGGGGGCATAAAATTTTTTATCCACGCTTAAATGAGGGCTGATATTTGCTATTACCTTAACACTGAAATGATTGCTGATATTTACAATAATATCAACACTTAAATGATTGCTGATATTTACAATAACCTAAACACTTAAATGATTGCTGATATTAACAATAACCTTAACACTTAAATGATTGCTTACATATACAATAACCTTAACACTTAAATGATTGCTAATTCTTATTCTGAAATGATTGCTGATATTTGCTTTAACCTTAACACTGAAATGATTGCTGATATTTTCTTTCTCATTCTCACTGAAATTATTGCTGATATTTGCTTTCTCCTTCTCACTGAAATGAATGCTGTTATTTGCTTTTACCTTAACACTGAAATGATTGCTGATATTTACTTTCTCCTTCTCAATGAAATGATTGCTGATATTTACTTTCTCCTTCTCACTGAAATAATTGCTGATATTTACTTTTACCTAAACACGGATTGATTGCTGATATTTACTTTTACCTTAACCCTGAAATGATTGCTGATATTTTCTTTCTCATTCTCACTGAAATTATTGCTGATATTTACTTTCTCCTTCTCACTGAAATTATTGCTGATATTTACTTTCTCCTTCTCACTGAAATGATTGCTGATATTTGTTTTTTTCCTTCTCACTGAAATGATTGCTGATATTTACTTTCTCCTTCTCACTGAAATGATTGCTGATATTTGCTTTCTCCTTCTCACTGAAATGATTGCTGATATTTCCTTTTCTCCTTCTCACTGAAATGATTGCTGATATTTCCTTTTCTCCTTCTCACTGAAATGATTGCTGTTAGTTTCTTTTACCTAAACACTGAAATAATTGCTGATATTTGTTTTTTCCTTCTCACTGAAATTTACTATAACCTTTACACTTAAATAATTGCTCATATTTACTTTCTCCTTTTCACTGAAATAATTGCTTATATTTGCTATTACCTTAACAACAAGAGCCATGTCAACATGACCATCCCCCGCCGAATGTGTTTGCTCATTGGAAGAATGTATATGTAGTAGAGCAGAATAATTCAATTTAAAAACGTCTTTTGGAAATGAAAACTAATGGCTTAAATGATTACAGATTTGAAACTTATGTGAATACTGATGGCTGAAAATAACAAAGGGCAATAACTGAAAAATAATGCAGGGTAGGTTATCATTCTTGTGTGCTGCACCCCTTCTCAGTAACATCTATCCACCTATGAAGTTTAAGTTGATACCGCCGCAAATACTTTTTGTGATAAGCTCAGGACAAAATAGTATGAAAAAGAACAAAGGGCAATAACTCAAAAATTTTATAGGGAAGAGTTATTATTCTTGCGCAAAGCATTCCTCCTCAATAAGATCTATCCACCTATGACATTTAATGTTGACATCTCAAACACTTTTGAGTTATGCTCCACTCAGGTGAAAAATTAAGTATGAAAAATAACAAAGGGCAATAACTCAAAATTAATGAAAGGTAGAGTTATCATTCTTGTGCACTGCACCTCTCCTGAGTGAGATCTATGCACCTATGAAGTTTCATGTTGATATCTCAAAGGCCTTTTGAGTTATGCTCTGGACAAAAATTAATTTTGAAAAATAACAAAGGGCAATAACTCAAAAATTATGCAGAGTAATGTTATTAGTCTTGTGTAATGCACTGCTTCTCAATGAGGTCTATCCACCTATGAACTTTCAAGTTGATACCTCAAATACTTTTTGAGATAAGCTCCCAACAAAATAGTGTGAAAAAGAACAAAGGGCAATAACTCAAAAATTGTATAGGGAAGAGTTATCATCCTTGTGCACAGCATTCCTCCTCAATAAGATCTATCCACCTATGACATTTCATGTTGACATCTCAAACACTTTTGAGTTATGCTCCACTCAGGTGAAAAATTAAGTATGAAAAATAGCAAAGGGCAATAACTCAAACATTATGAAAGGTAGAGTTATCATTTTTATGCACTGCACACCTCCTGAGTGAGATCTATGCACCTATGAAGTTTAATGTTGTTATCTCAAAGGCTTTTTGAGTTATGCTCTGGACAAATATTAATTTTGAAAAATAACAAAGGGCAATAACTCAAAAATTATGCAGGGTAGTGTTATCATTCTTGTGTAATGCACTGCTTCTCAATGAGGTCTATCCACCTATGATATAGTTTCAAGTTGATACCTCAAATACTTTTTGAGATTTGCTCCGGACAAAAATGTCAGACGGACAGACGGAAGGATGGACGGACGGAGACTATTTCTATATCCCCACCGCCTTTTCGGCGGGGAATGATAAAAATATTGCTGATATAAACAGAGATCTGCCGAGAATTTGAAAGTACTGGGCCCTGGGCCCACTTGGTCTGAAAATGATGGGCCATTTTGACCAAAGTACGGGCCTTGGGAAAATAAGTAAAAATTGACCTAAATGACTGTTAAAATTTTTGTAGATAATTGAATTTCCTTTGTAATGGAACTTAAATCATATTTTACAACAAGTGGTTCACATATTATTCAGTATTTAACAGAAAAGATAACCAATAATTTTAAAAAATGCCTAGACAGTAACTTTCTAACTAATATTAATTGCAGGCAAAACATTTTTTCAAATGGCTGATCAAAAATCTGATTTGCATAATTTATCCACATAATTTCGAATGTCTAATACTCTGCATTATCCATTTAATTGTTCTTACTTTTGCACCAAATGTCCCTGTCACAATGTATATTGACGGATTTTATTACTCCTTGTATACCTCTGTGTAGAAATCATACATCAAAGACACTTGCCGACAGACTTTTTGATCATGGAAACAGTCATGCACAATGTTTCCCTGATTGGTTAATTGCCCTGTCAAATATTCTGATGACGAAAGAGACATATTTTTTTACACTTCATCAGCCAAAGTGTGTAAGAAACTTGAGTGACCTAAGGGGAATTCAAGATGTACACCTGTCACTTACAGCTTTTCTAAAAATAGCAACACTTTTTTTTCAGTTACTGATAATCATTTTTAATATTAAGTAGTTGTATAATTTTTTTGTTTTATTGGATTTAATTCACGGTAGGAGAAATGAGTATCTGATTATGAAAAGAAATGCGATAAGTAGATAAAGTGAACAAAAGCTATAGGTGAATGGATAAACTCAAGAATATGCGTAATTACAGGGGAATGGGTAACTGTTGCTGTTGGTACCAGTTTTGACTGGATGACTAAATAACCCAGCGGACAGTTTTGTTTTCATATAAGTCTGGCACAGATTTTAGATGCGCCCTTGGCCCTTTGCTGCCGATTTTCCTGCGCCATTCACATTTTTTTAGCGCCAATGGCGCAAAATCGCGTCCTCGGCAGATCTCTGTATAAACTATTACCCTTAACACTGAAATGATTGCTGATATTTGCTTTTTTCTTCTCACTGAAATGAATGCTGATATTTGCCATTACCTTAACACTGAAATGATTGCTGATACTTACTTTTACTTAAACACTGAAATGATTGCTGATATTTGCTTTCTCCTTCTCACTGAAATGATTGCTGATATTTTCCTTCCTCACTGAAATGATTGCTGATATTTGCTATAACCATAACACTGAAATGAATGCTGATATTTATCTACTTTCTCCTTCTCATTGAAATGATTGCTGATATTTGCTTTCTTCTTAACACTGAAATGATTGCTGATATTTACTTTCTCCTTCTCACTGATTTTTGCTTTCTCCTTAACACTGAAATGATTGCTGATATTTACTTTCTCCTTCTCACTGATATGATTGCTGATATTTGCTTTCTTCTTAACACTGAAATGAGTGCTGATATTTACTTTCTCCTTCTCACTGATATTTGCTTTCTCCTTAACACTGAAATGATTGCTGATATTTACTTTCTCCTTCTCACTGAAATGATTGCTGATATTTACTTTCTTCTTCTCACTGAAATGATTGCTGATATTTACTTTCTCATTCTCATTGATATGATTGCTGATATTTGCTTTCTCCTTCTCACTGAAATGATTGCTGATATCTACTTTCTCATTCTCACTGAAATGAATGCTGATATTTATCTACTTTCTCCTTCTCATTGAAATGATTGCTGATATTTGCTTTCTTCTTAACACTGAAATGAATGCTGATATTTACTTTCTCCTTCTCACTGATATTTACTTTCTCCTTAACACTGAAATGATTGCTGATATTTACTTTCTCCTTCTCACTGAAATGATTGCTGATATTTGCTTTCTCCTTCTCACTGAAATGATTGCTGATATTTACTTTCTCCTTCTCACTGAAATGATTGCTGATATTTACTTTCTCCTTCTCAATGAAATGATTGCTGATATTTGCTTTCTCCTTCTCACTGAAATGATTGCTGATATTTACTTTTACCTTAACACTGAAATGATTGCTGATATTTACTTTCTCCTTCTCACTGAAATGATTGCTGATATTTACTTTCTCCTTCTCACTGAAATGATTGCTGATATTTGCTTTTACCTTAACACTGAAATGATTGCTGATATTTACTTTCTCCTTCTCACTGAAATGATTGCTGATATTTACTTTCTCATTCTTAATGATATGATTGCTGATATTTGCTTTCTCCTTCTCACTGAAATGATTGCTGATATCTACTTTCTCATTCTCACTGAAATGAATGCTGATATTTATTTTCTCCTTCTCAATGAAATGATTGCTGATATTTACTTTTTCCTTCGCATTGAAATGATTGCTGATATTTGCTTTTTCCTTTTCACTGAAATGATTGCTGATCTTCTCCTTCTCACTGAAATGATTGCTAATATTTACTTTCTCATTCTTAATGATATGATTGCTGATATTTGCTTTCTCCTTCTCACTCAAATATTGGTGATATTTGTTTTCTCCTCACTGAAATGATTGCTGATATTTACTTTCTCCTTCTCACTGAAATGATTGCTGATATTTACTTTCTCCTTCTCACTGAAATGATTGCTGATATTTACTTTCTCCTTCTCACTGAAATGATTGCTGATATTTGCTTTCTCCTTCTCACTGAAATGATTGCTGATATTTACTTTCTCCTTCTCACTGAAATGATTGCTGATATTTACTTTCTCCTTCTCACTGAAATGATTGCTGATATTTACTTTCTCCTTCTCACTGAAATGATTAAGTTATTGATCATAACCCATGTTCTATTTTTAGTAACAATGACCTTAACTTTAATCCTTGGGAGCCCAAAAGCAATCCAAAGTCTAAGCATAAGTTTGCTACACCAGAAATTTCATTTAATTATCGGATTCAAAATTTAGATAGTGACCAGAAACCTTGACCTTAACCCTCCATAGCAAAAGCAATCATAAACAAGATATTAAAATAAACTTGCAAAGAAACCAAGTTTCATTGACATACTTCATTCCTGACTCCAATTATTGACCGGAAACCATTTTTTTTTTTTTTTTTAGCATCTGTAACCTTGAAATTGACCCTTGGGGGTCAAAAAGCAATCCCAAGGAAGGTCTTCACATACGCTTGATATTTCATTAATTTTTCTAATTTTATTAAGTCAATTTAAACTTTACTTCTTGACAATTTAAACATTAGTTCTTGACCAGAAACCATCTTGTTTGATGTCCATCTACCACAGCAATCTAATAACCAGGTTTTTCAAAATTAATAACTGGTTAAAAAAGGGTATGATGTTAAAGGCAGTTTTTGCTTACCATTGTATAATCTAAAAGGATGACTTATGCTTTAGCTTATCACTCCAAAGGTGACTAATATTGCCTGAAAATGCAGCACATGTTTCCTGACTACAAGGCATCCAGCTGATGAAGTACTGTGGTTGCTAAATTCTTTACGTAATACATTTTTCTACCATCATGTTTCATCCTCTACTGCAAAAAAATAAAATTTAATCATTTCCTTTTTTAAAATGAACATAAATCAATGCATATATAACAGCAATGGATTTGTGCTGAGAGTGACTAGGCCTCTTTTACGATCACAATTAGCAGATCTGACTCCCTGTAAGCCATCCTTGATTCAAGTGGTATGGATATTAGATATTCATAACAAATTCCTCAACTGATGCTCAGCATTGACAGCATGATTCTAGAATCATTCAGTCAGACAGTAAAGTATCATTCTGAGGAGAAATTAAAAATGAATAAATATTGGCATGCCACCAGGTATTGAGGGCGATAAAAGTATTAAGGCATGCCACCAGGTAATTTTAGGGCAATTAAAGTATAATGGCATGCCACCAGGTATTTCAAGAAATTGATTTTAGTATAATGGCATGCCACCAGGTATTGAGGGCGATTTAAGTATAATGTCATGCCACCAGGTATTGTGGGCAATAAAAGTATAATGGCCACCAGGTATTGAGGGCGATTTTAGTATAATGGCATGCCACCAGGTATTAAAGCTACATTTAATAAATTTCATAAAAAACTAAATAACGACATTTCGTCAATAAATTGGGTTTTATATTAACTCCAGGTCTTATTTTGGTGTCAAGACAACCAAAATGAGTTTTATTAGCATACAAATTGGGTAACCTCATTGTGGCAAAATGGGAAGTACAATTTCTGTTTGCATGAGAAACTCCGCCTTCGGATCATCCGTACATCAATATTAATTGCACTGAACTCCGGGCTTAGTGCACCGTGAAGCTAAAACGGTTAAAGTGTCTTTACACAAGAAAATATTATTTTGCTGTGTTCCGGATAGCAACTATGTAACTGTGATATAGCTCATACACGAGCTGATTATAATCTTCATTTTGCATGTTAAATTTCGTATACAAACTTTAGTGCTACCTTGGGGTTTTCTGTTTAAAATCCTAATTTATGAACAATATTTGATGTGATTTACAACAATACTGTTAAACAGGTTAATAAAACTGTAGAATGTTTGTTTTTAGGCGGACAGCAAAATATTTTTACTTATTCATTTAATGTAGCTTTAAGGGCAATTAAAGAATAATGGCATGCCACCAGGTATTGAGGGCGATTTGAGTATAATGGCATGTCACCAGGTATTGAGAGCGATTAAAGTATAATGGCATGCCAACAGGTATTGAGGGCGATTTTAGTGTAATGGCATGCCATCCGGTATTGAGAGTGATTAAAACACGTTGGAATGCCACCAGTTATTGTGGGCGATAAAAGTATAATAGCATGCAACCAGGTAATTTTAGGGCAATTAAAGTATATTGGCATGCCACCAGGTATTGAGGGCCATTAAAGTATATTGGCATGCCACCAGGTATTGAGGGTGATTAAAGTATAATGGCATGCCACCAGGTATTGAGGGTGATTAAAGTATAATGGCATGCCACCAGGTATCGGGAACGATTAAAGTATAATGGCATGCCATCCGGTATTGAGGGCAATTAAATCACAAGGTAAAATTGAGCGCAATTTAAAGTCACACACTGTCATTGCCATTAGGTATTATGTGCAATTAAAAGTATGAACATGCCACCGGGTATTCCTCTCTTATTGGCATGTCTAACTGAGAAAAAGATAATTTTTCTAGTGTTATATTGTACATTCTTATACGCTTCACACTATATTTCCCTATCAAAAAGATAAGGCAGTCAAGTGCATTGTAACACAATAATGCACAGCATGAAAACTGAATGCTTACACATCATATGACGTCAGATATGATGTCAATAAACCAAATGACATCAGGAAAATCACTTCTACGCTCAATGACAAGTTCAACATATTTTTTTATCCATTTTCTTTTTTATTAAGTTGCTCAAACCTGCAAGTTCCAGCCGTACATACCACCCTTATAATACTACCTATTGAATATACATAAACTATCTAAACGGCCTCCAACCTCCCCTTCTAGCCGTCCATACCACCCTTACTACCTATTGAATATACATAAACTATCTAAACGGCCTCCAACCTCCCCTTCTAGCCGTCCATACCACCCTTACTACCTATTGAATATACATAAACTATCTAAACGGCCTCCAACCTCCCCTTCTAGCCGTCCATACCTCCCTTACTAACTACTGAATATACATAAACTGTCTAATTACGGCCTCCAACCTCCCTTCTAGCCGTCCATACCACCCTTACTTCCTATTGAATATACATAAAAACTATATAAACAGCCTCCAACCTCCCCTTCTAGCCGTCCATACCACCCTTACTACCTATTGAATATACATAAACTATCTAAACGGCCCTCCAACCTCCCCTTCTAGCTGTCCATACCACCCTTACTACCTATTGAATATATATAAACTATCTAAACGGCCTCCAACCTCCCTTTCTAGCCGTCCACACCACCCTTACTGACTATTGAATATACATAAACTATCTAAATGGCCATCAACCTCCCCTTCTAGCCGTCCATACCACCCTTACTAACTACTGAATATATATAAACTATCTAAACTGCCTCCAACCTCCCCTTCTAGCCGTCCATACCACCCTTACTAACTATTGAATATACATAAACTATCTAAACGGCCTCCAACCTCCCCTTCTAGCCGTCCATACCACCCTAACTTATTACTGTCTGAATATACATAAACTATCTAAACGGCCACCAACTTCCCCTTCTAGCCGTTCTTACCACCCTTACTAACTACTGAATATACATAAACTATCTAAACGGCCTCCAACCTCCCCTTCTAGCCGTCCATACCACCCTAACTTATTACTGTCTGAATATACATAAACTATCTAAACGGCCTCCAACCTCCCCTTCTAGCCGTCCATACCACCCTTACTTTCTACTGAATAATACATAAACTGTCTAATAACAGCCTTCAACCGCCCCTTCTAGCCGTCCATACCACCCTTACTACCTATTGAATATACATAAACTATCTAAACGGCCACCAACCTCCCCTTCTAGCCGTCCATACCACCCTTACTAACTACTGAATATACATAAACTATCTAAACGGCCTCCAACCTCCCCTAACAGCCGTCCATACCACCCTTACTAACTACTGAATATACATAAACTATCTAAACGGCCACCAACTTCCCCTTCTAGCCGTTCTTACCACCCTTACTAACTACTGAATATACATAAACTATCTAAACGGCCTCCAACCTCCCCTTCTAGCCGTCCATACCACCCTTACTAACTATTGAATATAAATAAACTATCTAAACGGCCTCCAACCTCCCCTTCTAGCCGTCCATAACCACCCTAACTTATTACTGTCTGAATATACATAAACTATCTAAACGGCCACCAACTTCCCCTTCTAGCCGTTCTTACCACCCTTACTAACTACTGAATATACATAAACTATCTAAACGGCCTCCAACCTCCCTTCTAGCCGTCCATACCACACTAACTTATTACTGTCTGAATATACATAAACTATCTAAACGGCCACCAACTTCCCCTTCTAGCCGTTCTTACCACCCTTACTAACTACTGAATATACATAAACTATCTAAACGGCCTCCAACCTCCCCTTCTAGCCGTCCATACCACCCTTACTTTCTACTGAATATACATAAACTGTCTAATAACAGCCTTCAACCTCCCCTTCTAGCCGTCCATACCACCCTTACTACCTATTGAATATACATAAACTATCTAAACCGGGCCTCCAACCTCCCCTTTTAGCCGTCCATACCACCCTTACTAACTACTGAATATACATTAACTATCTAAACAGCCTCAAACCTCCCCTTCTAGCCATCCCATACCACCCTTACTTCCTATGAATATACATAAACTATCTAAACGGCCTCCAACCTCCCCTTCTAGCCGTCCATACCACCCTTACTAACTACTGAATATACATAAACTATCTAAACGGCCTCCAACCTCCCCTTCTAGCCGTCCATACCACCTTACTTCCTATTGAATATACATAAACTATCTAAACGGCCTCCAACTTCCACTTCTAGCCGTCCATACCACCCTTACTAACTACTGAATATACATATGATAAACTGTCTAATTACGGCCTTCAACATCCCCTCCATACCACCCTTACTACCTATTGAATATATATAAACTGTCTAATTACGGCCTCCAACCTCCCCTTCTAGCCGTCCATACCACCCTTACTACCTATTGAATATATATAAACTATCTAAACGGCCTCCAACCTCCCCTTCTAGCCGTCCATACTACCCTTACTACCTATTGAATATACATAAACTGTCTAATTACGGCCTCCAACCTCCCCTTCTAGCCGTCCATACCACCCTAAAAATACTACCTATTGAATATACATAAACTATATAAACAGCCTCCAACCTCCCCTTCTAGCCGTCCATACCACCCTTACTACCTATTGAATATACATAAACTATCTAAACGGCCTCCAACCGTCCCCTTCTAGCTGTACATACCACCATTACTACCTATTGAATATATATAAACTATCTAAATGGCCTCCAACCTCCCCTTCTAGCCGTCCATACCACCCTTACTGACTATTGAATATACATAAACTATCTAAACGGCCACCAACTTCCCCTTCTAGCTGTACATACCACCCTTACTACCTATTGAATATATATAAACTATCTAAACGGCCTCCAACCTCCCCTTCTAGCCGTCCACACCACCCTTACTGACTATTGAATATACATAAACTATCTAAACGGCCACCAACCTCCCCTTCTAGCCGTCCATACCACCCTTACTAACTACTGAATATACATAAACTATCTAAACGGCCTCCAACCTCCCCCTTCTAGCCGTCCATACCTCCCTTACTAACTATTGAATATACATAAACTATCTAAACGGCCTCCAACCTCCCCTTCTAGCCGTCCATACCACCCTAACTTATTACTGTCTGAATATACATAAACTATCTAAACGGCCACCAACTTCCCCTTCTAGCCGTTCTTACCACCCTTACTAACTACTGAATATACAT